AGCTTGAAATGCTGACCGTGTGCACTGAATTTTAAAAATTCTGAGGATGATAATTTGGGAGAGAGCAGATTATTTGTGATAAAGATGTTGAAAGTTTTGTGGCATCCAGAGGTCACAATGTATAACTTGGATTGTAGGGTAATGCAAGTACATGCATTGATTTCAAAAATCAGGACTCAGCTTTTGAACCCAAAGGAAATAGTTTGCTGTTTAAGCTTGCTCACTTTCAAAACATGGATGTAATTTTAATAGAAATGTTACATTTACCTGTGAAATTTTAATAGTAGAGTCACTCAACAGTTTGGGGCCCATGGGCTCATTTGTGAGCACCTTATGCACACTGTCACAGTGCGCAGACTGCAGTCACAGATGTGCATGTACACCACACCCAGGCATACTAACTCATCCTTGCCCCCACCAACAATTAGGCATGAAAATGGCCCTTCTCCTGGCAGCAATAGAAGGCTTCTTTCAAACCTCATTTCAGTAGGGGAGGGATATGTGTTCAAGGGCTGCTTATGTCTTTAGGGCCATAGGCCACCTTCCCTTGCTTTACAAGATGCATCTTCCTGGATCAGACCAAAAAAAAGGACCCCTGGATGGTTAACTCCAGTCAAAAGGCGACTATGGGGTTGCGGCACTCATCTTGCTTTCAGGCCACAGACAGCTTTCCGGGTCATGTGGCCAACAGAACTAAACTACTTCTGATGCAATGGAACACTGTGATGAAAACCAGAGCGCACGGAAATGCCGTTTACCTTCCTGCTGCAGCGGTACCTATTTATCTACTTGCGCTATTGTGCTTTCGAACTGCGAGGCTGGTAGGAGCTGGGACAGAACAGCAGGAGCTCACCCCATTGTGGGGATTCAAACCGCCAACCTTCTGATTGGCAAGCCCCAAAAGCTCAGTGGTTTAGACCACAGCGCCACCAGCCCATCTGGTCCAGCATCAGAAGCAATCAGCAGGAAACAACACCTTCCACCGTGGTTTGCCCTCAACACCTGTCACTCAGAATCTCTGTACACTGAAGTTATTGGTTCAGTATTGCAGCTCATGTCATCACCATCACCATTTTATTTGTATGTCCATTCATAGCCTTGTATGTCCATTCATAGCCTTCATGAATTTGTCCTCTTTATTTATTTTTAAAATCTAAGCCAGCCCGTCCATCGCTGCTTCAGTATAGTGTTAGTTCAACAACCAAGCCCCGACCAAACAAGTTCACGGCTGCTTCGCAGACCTGCTGTCTCCATGGTCAGGAACCAGGTGTTATCCCTATCAACAGCTGCAAGGGCTGGTAGGTAACCATCTGCTAAACCATTTTTTCAAAAAAGAAAACTGGGGGGAGAGACAAGAATCTTGCCTCCAGCCTGGTGATTTTCTTGTACCTCTTGTAAAATGTGACTTGAGGCCACACGTTGCTTTCAACCGCTCACCTCCCTATCTTACGCTTTTCCTACTTAAACTGCTTGTCTTTATAGCTCTCAGGTTCCGGAGCGATTCAGTAAATATTTGTATGCTCCGTGCCCACGGATCAAACACTTTGATTAGCAGTGGCATTTACTGGGGGAAAGAATACACACACCTGGCTTTTCTTGAGTGGAAGAGAGAATCTGCAGTAAGGGTAAGGACGCGGCTAAACCCACAGATCTTGGAATGAGCCCTGATTTCTGGTTTTACACAGAGCAATAACTAGCGATATAGGAAGCTGCCTTATCCTTGGGCCAGGTAGCTCAATACTGTCAACATTGGCTGGAATTCCAGGATTTTCAGTAAGGGACATTCCCAGGACTCTGGAGTTGCCGGGGATTGAACTTTCGACTGTCTGCATGCAAAGCAGTTACTCTGCCACTGAGCTACAGCCCTTCCCTTAATACACAGGAACATAGAAAGATGCCTTATACTGAGCCAGACCATTGGCCCATCTAGCTCAATATTCTTTAAGCTGAGGGACCAAAGGCAGACAGAATTTCAGGCAGAGTTTTCTCCCAGCCCTGTCTGGGATTGCGCGTGGCACCTTCTGCATGCAAAATAGATGCTGTTGACCATTGTTGATAGACTTCTCCTCCATAGTCCAGTCACAGCAGAATGAAAGTCTATCTAACCCAGCATCCTGCTTTTGACAGTGGCCAGCCAAGTGCCTTCAGGAAGCCTACGCTCCCATGCAGCGCTATTTTTCTAGAAAAAGAGGTGCCGGAACTCACAATGAACACCTCCTTCATTCTCTTAGAATAGCAGTGACGCCAACCTGAGAAGGGCTGGAACTGAATTCCTCCTGAAGAAAAAGCTCTGTTTGCATGGCATGTCTGTACTGCATTGTTTTCCTCCATACATTAATTGATGAAATTTCATATTTGATGCCTACCCAGACCAAACCTGCCAAGACATGGCAACAAGTCTAAAACACTTATACCAAGTTAAATCCTACATTAAGAGTTCATGCTCCAAAATGGAAACAAACCCAAATGTGAAAGATCTGCATTTACCACTGGCAGGGCAAAATTAGAACGTTTGCCAGGTGTGGGATATTTAATTTTGACAGTGATGAAAGTGAATTCTACCATCCTGTAGGCAACCCAACACCCCTTGCAATCTTCAGGAACCTGAAAGCTCTGCATTGCATTCTAAGTATGGTGTGAAAAAGAGGCTCCCATCCTGTAGGGCAAAGCTCAACATCGCTTTGCTGCTCTTTCACATCCTGTTAATACAGACATCAAAGCTTTTGCAACACAGCTCTCCTGGTACGAGTGTGCACAAAGGCACATACCCAGAGTTGGAACACTGGTTTACTTGTGAACAGCTCTACTAGCTTCGGCCAGAAACAATATTTCCCCTCTGTTTGAAGTCCATGTTCAGAGTTCAGCAGATACGAATTTTGCTTTACAGTGGTGGTGGGAAACCTGGCAATAGAAACAGATGCCATTGGACTCCATTTCCCATCAGCCCCAGTCAGCACAGCTAATTGTCATGGGATCATGGGTGTTGTAGTCCAGCCATATCTGGAAGGCCACAGGCCCTCCACTACTGCATTACAACTTAGGACCAAGGTAGCTGGAGGATTGCCTTTCATATTGCTTGTGGATAAAGCTTGGGGCAAAGGAAGGAAGGAGAAAAGAAACACACAGAGAAGAAAACTGGCAAACTCAATCGCTGAAAATGGCATGATGCTTCCACTGGTAGGGTAGAAGGCAGGGAGGCCAACAGTAGGTGGCGCCAGAGCTAACAGCAGGCAGAGGCAACTGATTATAGTTTTGTCTCCATCCTCCTCCCTACTGAGTGCCACAAGGGCAACTCTAGGAGGATGGTGACAGGTACTACCACTCCCTGGACTAATTGTTAAGTAAGAAGGCAAGCGGGTGGGGGCTGGGTTTTGCTGAATAATGTTGGTAAGGCAGTGCTCTGTTCCCCCCAATAAAGTGGCCTTCACTGTGTAAGGGGTGCCAAAAGAGAGTAGGTTTGAGAGGGCAGAAAAAGATTTGGGCAGGTGAGGGCGTCAGGCTTGAAGGAGCAAAGGCCATAGGGTTACGACTGCGTGAGCATGCTGGATAATTCAGGTTCTGCCCTACAGAACTAGACCTGACTGCTTCCATTTAGTCTCCCAGGCTTTGTTGATCTTTTAGATGAAGAATTGCTACACACAGCATTCAGTTAAAGCAAAGCTTTCCCCATTCCCAGACAAAGAGTCAGTTGTTTCTCCGGCAGTCGAAATCCAAGACAAAAGAAAGGGAAAGGTGCAGAGGTGTGTGTATGTGGGGGGGGGGGAGGGAGAGAGTCTTAAATTGCTTTTTTTTTTAACTGCTCCGCTTGGCCCTCGGATCCTGCAGACAATATTTGTCCCCAGATTGTTATACTGTACACACGATAAAAACTTTACAGCACTGAGTACTCAGAATGTCGACAGTCCTTTCGGAAATGAAGCAATGCCTTATGCCAAGATAATGTTGAGTGTACATTGGAAAAGTGTCCTTTCTTTAAGAGGGTTTGGCTTTAAAAGGTGCTCTCTGTACCATCCTTCACAGGAGGAATAGTCCTTGCATGGGAAATCATTCTTAGGAAAATGTGTATGCAAGCAGAGCCATTGGACCACTGGGAATGTGCTACATCAATGCTAAGCTTTATTATGATTTTTGCCTCAAGAAATAACAGCACCCAGCACAAATCCCTTCTTTAAAATATATCAACAAGCCAGATTTCAAAAACAGCAGAGACCCAGCTTGCCTTTCCATCATCTTCATTAGTTTATCCTATTATATACAAAGAACTGGGAGAGCTCCTTCAGACAACTCTGTGCATACTTTACTGAGCATACTTTCTGATTTGTTTACAGGATGGTTATACGACAGTAAACTTTCATCCTGCATTCATCCTTATTTGCTTGTGGGCTGTTTGCTGTGAGTCAGCCACCCATCCCACATTTGCCTGTCACTTTCCAAGCTGCAAAAAGTCTTTTTTTAAAACGTGGATTGGGGGTGCTAGGACGACACTTTTAATTACACAAACCTATGTGCTTAAATCTCTCCTGGAAAATAGTGACATTCTGGGGGGCACTCTGAGTATCTTGGTGCAATAAAACACAGAAGGTACACTCTTCATTCAAACATTGCATTATTATTTTTTAAAGTGTATCCAATGCTATTCCTACTCAGAGTAGGCCTATTGAAGTTAATAAGGTAAAGGTACCCCTGCCCGTACGGGCCAGTCTTGACAGATTCTAGGGTTGTTCACCCATCTCACTCTACAGGCCGGGGGCCAGCACTGTCCACAGACACTTCGGGTCACGTGGCCAGTGTGACGAAGCTACTCTGGCGAGCCAGAGCCACGCACGGAAACGCCGTTTACCTTCCCGCTAGTAAGCGGTCCCTATTTATCTACTTGCACCCGGGGGTGCTTTCGAGCTGCTAGGTTGGCAGGCGCTGGGACCGAGCAACAGGAGCTCACCCCGCCGCGGGGATTCGAACCTCCGACCATGCGATTGGCAAGTCCTAGGCACTGAGGTTTAACCCACAGTGCCACCCGCGCCCCCACTGAAGTTAATAGACATGCCTAATTTGGGTTTGTAATTTTTTATTGGCTCTACCCTGAATAGCTTGTGATAATCCAGTGTTTCAAGAGATAATTGACAAAAGACACTTAATATGACAGGATATTTCTAAATAGGTTTTGTAAGGGCTGAGCGAATCTCAGAAGAATGTGCATCTTTAACGGATTGAGGGAAAGGAATGTAATGAGCCTTTCCCAACGTGGCACCCTCTACATGTTTTGGACTACAACTCCCATCATCCCGAGTCAACACAACCCAATGGCCACAGCTGAAGGGAGTTATAGAGGAGGGTGCCAGGTTGTGAATGACTGGTGTGAGCACTTGGGGCTCTGTTTGTGCCGTGATTTCTAGGCACAGGTCCGAACAGTTTTGGGGGTTTATTATCTTGCTGCTCCCTCCTGGAAAACCAATGTTTACTGCTGAACTGGAACAAACGTTAGGTTTTCCATGAACTTCTGTTTGTTCTGATCCAGTGATAAACAGTGGGTTTGCTCAGGGAACGCAGCGGTGTGGCCAAAACAAAAAACCGCCCATGCCTACAAATCATGGACCAATAGAAATTGCAGCACAGATAAAAGTGTGAATAAGCCCTTGATCTACAGGTGAGGGACTTCCATCCCAGGAGTCAAATGTGGCCTTTCAGGCCTCTTTGTCTGCCCCTTGGGACTCTGCCCAGACCACACCTTCCCCTTACGCTAGCAACACTCCACACCTTCCTTGAGCACTTCTTCTTAGCGTGTGACAACTGTCACTTGCCTGGAGGGAGAGGGGTGTGAGTGGGAATGGGCACAGAAACCCCCAGTTGAATTCAGCCTAAGGTACAAAGCTAAGAGCCACACCTTGCAAGGGAAACGTGTCCCCGTCTGCTCCTTGCCCCCTTGAAAGATTTTTCTAGAGAAGCCTATAAGCAGCACCTGTTCAGTTTCCAAGTTCCAGGCAGCCTCCTGAGCCACTCATGGAACTGGGTGGGTGCTTAGCCATACGAATTAAGGTGCTGTGGGGCTCCCCGGATTGTACTTAAGCTGAAATAGGGTTGTTGTGGCCTGCCTTACCACTGTTTCCCTGTTTCTGCGCTTTATTCCACCATCTAGAAGCAAACAGTGTGGTATTCCTACTTGTGGGGCTGGGCTGCTGTATTTCTTTTGCCAAAACACGGGTGCTGAAGAACTGCCCCGATAAACCGCCATTTCTCTGCATACGCAATATGGAAAGGGGCTCAGCACACAGAAGACAGACCAGGTTTTCACACCCAAAGGAGAGACGCAGAGAGAGAGAGCTGGGTTGTCCTTGAGCCACAAAGACTTGAGACGTTTCAAGCTATCCCTGTATGCCGAAACTCTGGCTTTAAAGGCCTTCGACCGGGAGGCTGTTGCTCAGATCGTATGTGCCGTTGTTTTCATCCTGCAGAAGAAGCTTCTCGATGGTCAGGGGGCCCATTTCCTTCCTTGAGTCCTCCAGCTCCTCGGGGACCGGATCTGGGATTGAAACGGGAAGAGGTAGAAACTGGGGTGCAGGGAGGGTGGTTGAAGCTGGTTGGTACTGCAGGGACGGCGCTGGTAATGTTGAGATTGGCTGAGTCCATGGGAAGTAGCTCAGAGGAGCTTGCTGGTCCATGACATCCAAGTGAGGCACAACAGCTGGTGTGGAAGTGGGTCTTGCCTGTTTGATTAAAAGGAAAAAAAAAACAGATTGACCCATCACTTGTGTTTCTCTGGAGCAGGAGAGGCTAAACTTTGGGGGGCCCCAGATGTTGTGGGTCTCCAGATCTTACCAGCCCCAGCCATGATGCCTCCATTCATTTATTAAAAATAAATAAGTCAAAAACAATGGTCAAGATTTAAATCCTCCAGACAAAAAACTGCAAAACTAGCAATGAACCATTACAAATAATGAAGGATACAGTATGGAAGTGAGAGCTGGACCACAAAGAAGGCTGATCGCCAAAGAATTGATGCTTTTGAATTATAGTGTTGGAGGAGACTCTTGAGAATCCCATGGACTGCAAGAAGATCAAACGTATCTATTCTTAAGGAAATCAGTCCTGAGTGCTCACTGGAAGGACAGATCATGAAGCTGAGGCTCCAATACTTTGGCCACCTCATGAGAAGAGAAGACTCCCTGGAAAAGACCCTGATGTTGGGGAAGATGGAGGGCACAAGGAGAAGGGGATGACAGAGGATGAGCTGGTTGGACAGTGTTCTCGAAGCTACCAGCATGAGTTTGACCAAACTGCAGGAGACCGTGGAAGACAGGAGTGCCTGGCGTGCTCTGGTCCATGGGGTCACGAAGAGTTGGACATGACTAAACGACTAAACAACAACAACAACAGTGTGGTTGAGTAACTGGCCACAGATGGGGAACGTGGGTGTTGTTGAGCTCCAACTCCCTTAGGCCCATCCAGGAGGGCCAGTAGTCAAGGTTGATGGGAGCTCTAACATCTGGAGACCCTTGGGTTTTGCACCCCTGCAGTAGAGTTGTGGCCTAGGATTGGGAAGACCCAGGCTGAAATCTCCAATCAGCCATTAAGCTCCCTAGGCGACCTTTGGCTAGGAATCTGGGAGGATACCATCAGAAATGGAAATTGCCACAATTTGCTTGCTCACCCACAGTCCAGGAGCAGAAATTGCACAAGTGAATAAGAGCAGAATCTGCTATCACTGGATATATTTTTTTTAGTCTGCAAAGGTCATATAAATAATTCTGTCATGCCAATGTGTCCACATGGCTCCAACCTCACTGCCACTCTGCTAAAGAAGCAGCAGCCTGCCTGAGCCTCGTCCATATAAACAGTAATGCTGCTCACGTCAGGAGGGGCTCTGTGACTTTGCCCCACACCCCACCAACTGCTGCTGGGCCAATCACTCACTCTCAATCTCACCTGCTTCATGGGGGACATTGCCGGAGGAGAAAATGGGAGTTGGCAAAAAACCATGGCAGCTGCCCAGGGCTAATGAATAAATAAATTCTGCTAACTGATGCCATGAAATACCTGGGAGGAGAGGGAAACAACAACAATGGCAGAGCACTTGCTTTGCATGCAGAAGGTTTCACATTCAATCCCTGGCAGCTCCAGTTTTAGAAAAGGTCAAGTAAGTGTTGACAGGAAAGATCTCTGCCGGAGTGTCACTGTCAGCCAGTGTGGTCGACACTGGGCTGGAAGGACAAAGAGTTTGACCTTGGTATGAAACAGCTTCCTTTGAGCCTACAGCCTACTCCCAATTAACTCTCCTTGCATTACTTTCTTAGGTTCTCAACTTCTGGACCTGCCAAGAGAGACAGCAGAGAAATCCGAGGATTTCCAAACTGTACCAGAAACCACCAGTTTGTGTGTTTGTTCCCAACCCAGAACAGAAAACCTTCCTCTTCCCCATGCATACGAATGGGAGAGTTATGTATTTGTTAACTTGCATGGTGGGAAATAGGCTGGATTCCTTAACACGGCTGATGGGTCGAGAAGCCCACCTGCTACTAGGCACCCTTGGAATAACAGGGTCCTTAAAGGTAACGGTAAAGGAACCCCTGACCATTAGGTCCAGTCGTGACCGACTCTGGGGTTGCAGCGCTCATCTCGCTTTATTGGCCGAGGGAGCCGGCGTACAGCTTCCAGGTCATGTGGCCAGCATGACTAAGCCGCTTCTGGCAAACCAAAGCAGCGCACGGAAACGCCGTTTACCTTCCCGCAGGAGCAGTACCTATTTATCTACTTGCACTTTGACATGCTTTTGAACTGCTAGGTTGGCAGCAGCAGGGACCGAGCAACGGGAGCTCACCCTGTCACGGAGATTCGAACCGCCAACCTTCCGATCCGATCGGTAAGCCCAAGGCTCAGTGCTTTAGACCACAGCACCACCCATGTCCCTAACAGGGTCCTTGCTGTGGGGCAACAAGATTCCTCCCTCCCCTCAGCTGTTTCTAGGGATGCTGCCTCTTCCTTCCCCATATAGAAATTAATGGAGGCATCGTGGCATTAACTTGGATCAATCATTTGCGGAGGTGTGCATACCCGTAGCTGAGTAAAACAACAACAGAAGAACAGAACATGTGATCTAAGTTCCTCCCACTTTCAATGGCACTTTGCTGTGGCACATAGAATGAGAGGCAGTGTTGATCTCTGACAGCAACAACTACATTTGCAAGATATTCCAGCCCCGTGGGCTTCAGTGTGGAAGACAGCCCAGTATCTGCAGACTGTCTCTCTTGATCATGTCTGAAATCAATGGGTGATCAGGTCTTTGCTTGGGAAATAGGCCTCACTGCTGCTTTTGCTATATACAGTTGGTCTTGTGCAAAGTGTTGCTTTAAAAAAAACGACAACGTAAAGCACCCTGAAAGCCATCAAATAAAATAATTATTCATAGCATTTGAAATGCAGCTGAAAACAATGTTGTAAAAAATATTGTGTGGAAACAGACCAGGAAGAAAAGGCTCCAGGTGCTCCCTGCGAATATTCAGATCCGATATTTGATATTTTGGGTAGCAAGACAGAACAATGCAATTTATGGCACTCTTCAGTTACAGCAATTCAGAAGCTGCCAGTCGGAGCGATGAGATTCCTTGCTAGTCAAAGTCAATACTAAGCTGATGACTATACTCTCACTTTCTCTCTCGTTTCCCCCCCCTGAGGTACACACAATGATCTTAATTTTTTACTTCTCACATGAGGAAACTTAATTCTATAACAGCCTGTGCTTAAATTAGAGTCAAAGAGGATTTGCATCAGGAAAATAATCCCTTTGTGATGGTCTTCTGAGAATTGTGATGTCAAACATTCACTGTATATTTAAATATCTGATGAATGCTTACTGGATATTGCATACAATGTGCATTTGTCACCCAATGATACTTGATTTCAACAATACTTAATGTGCAATCTTGAGGGAAATCTTTCACCAAGCCCTCAGCAGCCCGACACCAGCTTGCTTATCCCACTTGACCACTTTGATCTATGAAACTGGCATTCTTGCAACTGCCACACACTGTTTGCTCTGCACTTGTAAAAATAGAATTGCCCCTTCAAAGTAGCAGCATCTTCTCTTTGGAACTCCCTGCCCCTTGATATGAAGCAGGTGCCTTCGTTGCACCCTTTGCTACAACTGCTAAAAGCTTCATTGCTTAGCCTAACCAAAAATGTAATTTTACTATGTGTATTTGTATTTAAAACTGTTGCTTTTCATCAGTATTTTGATCATTTTATCGTCTCTGTGTTTTAAAAGTTTGCTGATTTTATCTGTGTCATCTTATGAATGGCTGATATTGTTTTAAGTTAAACCACCTAGAGGCTGTTGTGGTTGTTAAAGGTAAAGGTAAAGGGATCCCTGACCATTAGCTCCAGTCGCGCACGGAAACGCCGTTTACCTTCCCGCTGGAGCGGTACCTATTTATCTACTTGCACTTTGACGTGCTTTCGAACTGCTAGGTTGGCAGGAGCAGGGACCGAGCAACGGGAGCTCACCCCATCGCGGGGATTCAAACCGCCGACCTTCTGATCAGCAAGCCCTAGGCTCTGTGGTTTAACCCAGAGCGCCACCCACGTCCCAGTGTTGTTAGGAGGTATATAAATCATGTTCAATAAAAATGTAAGAAATTAGTAGAACTGGTCCATACCAGTGACCCAGCCAGACTCACCACAAAGTTTGTGATCAGTGGCTGAGATGCATAAGTGAGCACGGAAGACGTTCCGACGAGTGTGTAACTTGGGCACACGGGCTGGACATACATGTCTGCTGAATAAGGACAGCTGACAGCTTCATGGGAGACATAATCTGGGTAGGTGGTCCACTGGGTCAAAGGCTGCAGAGAGGCTGGAGAAGGTTGTGTTAACCACCCGGAATACAGCGACCCATCATCCATCACTGGCAGTGCAGAAGTGACAAAATCCGAATCTGTGCAGACTTGGCCTGTGAAGAGAGGAGAGTCTTGAAGGTAGGGAGAGGCAAATCTGTTAGTTTCAGCTTCTCATTTTTTCCAATCTTAAGTCATTTCCACTTAGGGTTGGGTTTTTTTAAGGTCCTCAGAATTAATCAGCATTTTAGTGCAAAGGTTTAACATACAGATTTTCCTATGCAATTTTGCCTGATAGACACATTATTTTTTTTCAAACCCTTTGAGTTTCCCCTGCACATATTTTGTACACTGTTTTCGCTAAAATATTCATTTTTAAAAACACATTACTTGACTGGGAGATATGCACAGCACAAAGTGGAAAGGTGCAAATTTCAAACGATGGTTGTGTTTTGGCTCACAGCTAGCTTTGGAAAAAGGCCAGTTAGGAAGGTTCGCTTCTAAATACGAACCGAATAGAATTTCTCCCCCAGCTGTACTTGAGAGTTACGCTGTGAGAAGGTGAGCAAAGAAGGAGAAACAAAAGCAAAAACTAGAATAGAACAGAATACTAAGACACTTACCAGTGGGTGAATAGGAAGGGACAGGCTGATGGGGGAAAAATACCTAAAGGAAAATAATAGTTTGACATCAGCTATTTAAGAAAACGAAATACCAGAGAAAATATTACTCAGAGGCCAACTAGGAAACTCATTTCAGTGATATTTACACTGCGATCGAACTTCAAGGCCAGCTAATGAGCTTTCAGGTCCAGCATATGGACAGGGCACTAGGGTGCTCTCTTAGGCCACCCATACACCTTACATTTAAAGCACTATGATGTCACTTCCCCCAAAGAATTCTGGTAGTGTAGCACCCTGCTTGTGGTTAACGCTTAGCTGGAATGAAATATTCAACGCAGCAATAGAGAAATTAAAATAATAATTTATTTGTCAGACAAATAAATGAGAGGCACAGTGGTATATGGTTACCAAGCTCTGGCCTGGCCTCCTGCCATTATGGCCAGCACTTATATTCCCTTAATCCAGCCCCCTTTGCTCCTCCTTGGGCTGCCTCTGTCCAATCAGCCTGGTTGGATTTCCTATTGGCTGATTGCTATAACCAATCCTAAAAGATACACCCATATCCTCCTGTCCTTATAAGGGAGACAAAGAGCTATATATAAATGACAAATAAGTAATAATATATCTTACATGGAATCTTAATTACCAGCTCACCTCTTGCCCTCCTTGCCCTATTGCCTTCTAAAACAAATGGTTAATCTTAAATTTTTATCTTAAACATATGTCAAGGATCTTGAGTTTCACATCAACATTGAAAGATCTCCTTCATTTGAAGGTTTCTAAACAAATGTCTGACAGCTATATATCAAGACTGCTTGGATGGCGTCTTCTTGTCTGGCAGGGGGCTGGGCTCAATGGCCCCTGTGGTCTATTCCAACTCTAGGACTCTATGATTCTATGAAATAAGAATCTAACATCTAAATTTGTTACTTTCTAAATCCTTTGCATAGTTACATTTAAACCAATATATTTAAGCTAATATATTTCATACATTATCATAGGTAACCTTTTAAAAGAATAAAGCTTCTCAAAGTAGAAAGGAAGGAACTCAGTAAAAAACAGTTTTTAAAGAAGGCTCTTTAGTTTACACCTCCCCCTTTCACCCTCCTTTCCAGCCTCAAAATAAAATAGGAAGAAGCTTCTTTTTCCCCAGCCAAGCCAGTTGCCTTTTCTCTCAGTTTAAGAAAGAAACAGTTTTTAGAAGATTTCCTAAAAATGCTCTCTTTTTCTGTCAGCTAGATGCTTCTCCCCATTTGCCTCTGGCCTTAGAAAATACAGCTCAAGGTTTAAGAGAGGCCCATGGTATCATTTTACTATTTACCCATTCCTAATTATATTTATCTCTGCCTTTGTTATCTTCTGTAACATGTAGGGTCAGTGTCCGTTCTCAGCCTGTAATTTCAGCTTTTATGACTTTGAGAATTGTTTTCTGCTATAAATCAAGGGGGGGCCCTTGTCTTAGGAGAATGGCCAAGGTTTTCTCTGCCTGGCATGAAACATTTGAAAATCTAAGCCCTCTCTTTAATATACAAGCCCTGATCAAACATTAATAAAATGCAGGCTTATGCCTGATGCCTCATTCCCCCCTTTCAAGCTCAAGGACCTTCGTCCCAAGTGTCCTTGATAGCTTGACCTTCATCATATTCCTGAGGTAAAGCTCTGTATAGGGCCATGATATGAGGTAGAGTTTCATTTGAAACCATCTTGCTAATTGTACTTCTAAAACATGAGATGATACATGGCATCATACATAAAACCATTACCACTACTGTCAAGAAAAACAAGCAAGACAATAGTATCCCTTTGAGTCCTGTGACATTAGGTAACCAATTGGTGAGCCATCCCATATCCCATCCTTCCCATGTTTGTACTGGGACATGTGCTATATTCTCCATCTTTGTGGCCAACACACGGATTGCCTCACCATTATCTGAAATGTTAAAGCAACAGGCATTCCCTGTCAAGTTCAAGACTCCACATAGGCCTCCCTGCCTGGCAAGTCATCCAACTGTCGTGCAATAAGTCTCAAACTCTGGGCCGTTGCATTGGTTACAAGTTCCACTACTGCTTGTAATCGAATTATTCTGTTTAGATTATAAATAGGATCCCGTGCCCCTTGTATGAGCTCACCAGGATTCCAGGAGGCAGGATCATAATAGGCTATTATGCGCTCTGGCGGCCAATCATCAGTACCGCTCCAACTTTGGGTACTTCCTCCTGCTATACGAGAAATATCAGCATTTCTTCGTGTTCGCTTGGCCGAATTAGTGGGCATAATCCACATTGGTGGTAATACCCATCCCAGGAAACAAGTCCCACTCCATTTGGAAGGGAGTTTCTTGTATGCCCATTCTCCACATATCCACCACAACCATCGGGTCTGAGGTTTTTGGTACGTGGAGTACAGAAGGCGAAATATCAAAAGAGGTAGAGAGTTCACAGTGCAGTATGTTAGATTGCCTTTTTCTGTCACAGTTATGTTCCATACCACTTTCCATGCATGAATAAAAGGAGGTGCACAGGGCAAGGTATTCCGAGTTTGATAGGTAGTACCGTGTGCCCAGGTATGACTATTCTTAAAATAATCCCAAGTATAGTGACAATGAGAAGAGCCTATCATGGTAGAATCAGCTGCATCTGATGATTTATGTACATAGAATTCCCCTTGTACAGGTATAACTCGTAATGGTTTAGTTGAGTTCCATCCGGGGAAATTCTGTATTTCTGTTTGGTGTGGCATTTCGCTTACCATACCAATGGCATCTAATGGTATCGGTAATAAGGGCATACCTCCCTCTGAATCATCTGGCCCAAGAGAGCAAACAAGGCAATTGGTCCTATTTGCAACATTGGCTACCATTTCAGCTAAACCTACCCACATATTGTGGTCATGGCTGAATCCATATTTAGCAAATTTGGTCAGATTCAAGGACCCTTCCCCTTCCCAAGGGATCAGGATTAATAATAAAATCATGTTGATGTCTAGCATATGCATTCCTTCCACAAAAGATTACCTTATTGTGATAGCAAATAAATATTAGTCCCAATATAATTCCCCCAGTGACAGAAATGGGGAACCACCAAGACCAAAACATATATCCCGAGGATCCCCAATGAGTAATATCTCTGATAATTGTTCCACGGGGGGGGGCAGTCAATTAATTGTATAAGAGAATCTTCCCTTCCACAATCGCTGGTTCAGATGCTCCTCAAGCTTCAGGCGTGCGCAGGTCAGCCAGCTTCCAGGTTGTGGCTGCAGCAGGCCGGTCGTCTAATGTTGCCCGTGACCTAGCCCGTTCCCGGTAGGGCTAGATACAGGGGTTTTTGGAGAGAGTCAGTTTTAAAGGATTAGAGGGGTCACCTTTGCACGTCCAACTGCCTTCAGACTTCTTCAAACGGGAGTGATGAATCCAGGGGGTCACCTCAGCTACCTTCACCGCTGTTGGAGTAGAGAGCAAGACGGTGTAAGGTCCACGCCACTTAGGTGCAAGTGGATCACGTTTCCACTCTTTCACCCATATGCTATGCCAGCCTGAAGCTGATGAATCGGCACGGCAATGCTGCACGGCGTGCGCTCGAGGGCCCACCTGTTAAGATAAAAAAACAACAACAAACAAACACGGGAGAGAGACAAAAACACGGGAGAGAGATTGCACTTGTCCCTGTGTCGCATGGTCTCCTATTTGTTTGAGGTCAGTTGGAATATCCTGAACAAAGGAGGGCGGCCTCCCATACAGGAGCTCAAAAGGTGACAACTTAAGTCTTTTTGTGGGTGCGCACCGAACACGAAACAGTGCTATGGGTAACACATCTACCCTACTAAGACTTTAGACATATTAGTGGGCTTCTGGCATGCCCTGCAGATACCTTGCACAAGCGTCTGGCGGTAGGTGGTAAGCCTGGCCAGGTGAATTGCATTGTTTGGATCCCAATTAGGATCTTCCAAGGGAAAGTTTTCCTGGAGATGACGGTCAATATTAAAAATATTTCCCACTCTGGCCTGCTCACGCAAATATATCTGTGCCTTTTCAATTATGTCTCTCCTTTCCTCAGTGGTGAACAGAGTATTCAGGAGCTGGCGGCAATCTGTCCAAGTAGGACTATGAGTATTTATTATTGAAGTCACCAAGTCCATCATAGCCTGAGGTTTTTCTGCGAAAGATGGGGTGTGTGTTTTCCAATTCATCAGATCCGTAGTTGTGAATGGAATATATTGCAGGGTCGAAGTTCGAGGTGGCCTTGGTCCAGGTAGCCCGTTAACCAGCACAGGCTCCTCAAGTGCATCAAATACTCTTCTAAGAGGGGCTACTACGTGACCTTTCTCTTCGCTTTGCTCTAGGGGCCTCAAATCATAGGGGATGGTATCTGTCCCAAGGCGTTCTTTTAGCAGCTTTATACGCCTGGCTGTATTGCTTGCTGACCGATTAGGGTCTCCCTGTAACTTCTGTAATAATAGATGTACAGGGGTTTGGGGTAGGCAATCAGTTGTTCCACTAAAAGAGACTGTAGATGGAGTTCTACTGGGACTCACAGGTGGAATAACCACTTCTGCTTGGGCTTCATTATAGGACTCCAATGCCTCCTGAAGATATTTATCATAATCTATCAAGGAATCAAGTTCTGTGACTCCAGCCCCATTATTCATTCCACTTTCTTGCCTTGGGGTTACAACTGGTGGAGGGTTCGAATTAGGCTCCCTTCGATGTGGAGCATAGGGTGGAGGTGGAAGCACCTCTTCCTCTGGTCCCTCAAAAATGGGTTTGAGTTTATTTGGCAAGATTCCTTTCCTAGCTTCGGCTTTTACAGCCAATAATTTGCATCGTTGGACTTTGCATTCCCTTATCCATGGAGGATTTTTATTTAATGTGCTCAGCCAGGAATCTATATATGAAAATTGTTCTGGGCACCCTCCAGTTTCTTTGGTGATGTTAGACCAAAGTTTGCTTACTAAATTTATATCAAAGGTTCCTTGAGATGGCCATTCAGTATTTTGTTTTGGCCATTCTAGTTCACATAACGTTCTCAAGCGCTCTGGCGTCATTTTGACTCCATATGCCCCTGAGAAGGCTTTCTTAAAATTATTTAACATACATTCAAGAGGTGTATTTCCCCCCTTTGAACCCCCAACTCCCATTGTATGGCCCTGTGAAGTATCCACTCAGTCACTCACACACACGCTTCGTGGGTTTCCTTGCCCAGATGGAGTCGCCTCACTGGGAACCGAAGTACTACCCACTCCACACTCAGGTCAGCTACAGATTGCTCTGTACTTTCTCACACATACAATGCGCAAGATACTTCACCACACACTACCTCCCATTCTTCCCTTTTCCCCCACCAGACCACCATCTGATATACCCAACCACCTAGCGTACTCAGTTCCCACTTACTGAGACGCAGAAGTTTGATCAAGACTTCTCTTCCTCCCAATTAATTGGAGGGCCAAAAATCCCTTTGTGCACTTACCCTTGGCTGGTTCCCTGTTTATTTCTCTGGTCCCCCCCGGTCCGTCGCCGTCAGTGGGCAGGGTATCAGACAGACGAGACTGCTGCGTTCCCCTGGAAAAAAATTTTCCAGTGCGCGCGAGGTAGGCAGTAAGTGGTCCTCTCTCTTGTACCCTGCTCAGTAGGCGAAGGGGCTGCGTTCCAGCAGACCACTTATCCGAGTCGCAGGCACCATAAAATGTAGCACCCTGCTTGTGGTTAACGCTTAGCTGGAATGAAATATTCAACGCAGCAATAGAGAAATTAAAATAATAATTTATTTGTCAGACAAATAAATGAGAGGCACAGTGGTATATGGTTACCAAGCTCTGGCCTGGCCTCCTGCCATTATGGCCAGCACTTATATTCCCTTAATCCAGCCCCCTTTGCTCCTCCTTGGGCTGCCTCTGTCCAATCAGCCTGGTTGGATTTCCTATTGGCTGATTGCTATAACCAATCCTAAAAGATACACCCATATCCTCCTGTCCTTATAAGGGAGACAAAGAGCTATATATAAATGACAAATAAGTAATAATATATCTTACATGGAATCTTAATTACCAGCTCACCTCTTGCCCTCCTTGCCCTATTGCCTTCTAAAACAAATGGTTAATCTTAAATTTTTATCTTAAACATATGTCAAGGATCTTGAGTTTCACATCAACATTGAAAGATCTCCTTCATTTGAAGGTTTCTAAACAAATGTCTGACAGCTATATATCAAGACTGCTTGGATGGCGTCTTCTTGTCTGGCAGGGGGCTGGGCTCAATGGCCCCTGTGGTCTATTCCAACTCTAGGACTCTATGATTCTATGAAATAAGAATCTAACATCTAAATTTGTTACTTTCTAAATCCTTTGCATAGTTACATTTAAACCAATATATTTAAGCTAATATATTTCATACATTATCATAGGTAACCTTTTAAAAGAATAAAGCTTCTCAAAGTAGAAAGGAAGGAACTCAGTAAAAAACAGTTTTTAAAGAAGGCTCTTTAGTTTACACCTCCCCCTTTCACCCTCCTTTCCAGCCTCAAAATAAAATAGGAAGAAGCTTCTTTTTCCCCAGCCAAGCCAGTTGCCTTTTCTCTCAGTTTAAGAAAGAAACAGTTTTTAGAAGATTTCCTAAAAATGCTCTCTTTTTCTGTCAGCTAGATGCTTCTCCCCATTTGCCTCTGGCCTTAGAAAATACAGCTCAAGGTTTAAGAGAGGCCCATGGTATCATTTTACTATTTACCCATTCCTAATTATATTTATCTCTGCCTTTGTTATCTTCTGTAACATGTAGGGTCAGTGTCCGTTCTCAGCCTGTAATTTCAGCTTTTATGACTTTGAGAATTGTTTTCTGCTATAAATCAAGGGGGGCCCCTTGTCTTAGGAGAATGGCCAAGGTTTTCTCTGCCTGGCATGAAACATTTGAAAATCTAAGCCCTCTCTTTAATATACAAGCCCTGATCAAACATTAATAAAATGCAGGCTTATGCCTGATGCCTCATTAGCTGTAGTTTGTTAAGGGTGCTGAGAGTTGTTAGGAAGCCGTCTCTCCCCCCACCCATTCCCCAGAGCTACTTGTGAAGAGGAGTTGATTATTAAACCAGTCTGAGAATTGTAACCGCTCTTAACAAGATGCATCTCCCAGAATTCTTTGGGGGAAGCCATGGCTGTTCAAAGTGGTACCATGATGCTTTAAATGCAGGGCGTGAATGTGGCCTTGGTCATTCTGCTACCCTCAGAAGAGCAGGGAATGACAACCTGGGAGAAGGCTTTCTCTGTGGCAGCACCTCAATTGTGGAACTCCTTTCTGGCAGAAGTTTGTCTACCATTTTTGTTGTACAGCTTAGCACAAATCCTGAAGATGCACCTATTTACCCTGGCCTTTGACAGTTAAGATGTTTTGTTTTGCGGGACCCACCTCATCAGTTTTGATTCAAAATAATAATAATAATAATAATAATAATAATAATAATAATAATAATGGTTTTACTTGCTCTTGTAACTGTATTATATTGTGAGAACCCCTCTCGGGTCCTGATGGTGAAGGGTGGGTAAGAAATCTTATGACCAAACCAAATAAAGGCTTTTGTTTGGAGAATGAAAGGGCAGAAAGAGTGGGGTGGGAATTCCACAAGCCACGCTGCCCCACAACTGGCCACCTTTCATTTCAGCTGTTTGCAAGTGCTGCTTCTCCTGGCTCAGTTTTTAAATTCAGATTTTGGCCACGTGAGCTTTGTAGAAAGCTCGATTTCAGGTCTGCTTAGCCTGCCAGCTCTGAGCATAAGACACCAAGCTTGGCGTAGGTGACATCATGATGGAAACCCATATGAATCAACAAGGAGATTCAGAGAGGAAGAGGATCTTGCCCACAAATTGTGGTTTTGCCCACAGCTCTTCTTACCGTCGTCGCTGCCCCAGCAGTGGCCACGTTTGCATTCTGAACACTGCCACGCTTTCGCTTTAGGAGTTCCTTTACGGGCTCTTTGACACGGACGCCTTGATAGGGGCGGGTTGGGGGCGGGGGCTGCTCGGGTGCAGAACCTGGGAGGGAAAGATGATAATTATTTCTCTCTCTCAGTGCTTCAAATATTGGATGAGTGGAACACCTTCCACTTGTGCAATAGAATTTCCCCTGTTCCCTTCCACACGCCTCCCCTACACCCAGTTTGAAGCTGGATTAAACATGCAGTGTAGACATACCCTGACCATTCCTTCCTCTCTCTTTTCTAGCGAATTAAAAGAATTGCAAATCGTGAGGTCTGAGCCCCATGGCTTGCTATAAAACCTCCTCTGAATAATCAACCCGGCAGTCAGCCAAGAAGCCACTCTGAAGCCTTGCGATAGTGTGAGTCACAAGGAAACACAACTCACTTCCGTATCTGAAACAGGTAAGCTTTATCACATGCAAAGTATTTGGCGGCGATGACTTGACACCGTATCAAAGCTTACGGGCGTAAGGAAATATTGATAAATCCATTGACGGCAGCAATTTCCGCGGCACAGGGCTTTGACTGCAATCGGTAGGCATACCTGAGCTGATAACCAGTGCTTCCTTCAAGTTCTAACTAATCAAACAGGTAACAGTCCCGTTCCTTTTCAGAGGAGTCCAGCTTCACCCTCTCTCATTAAAGCCATATCAAAACATAAACAACTTGAATGGTTGGATGCAGGAAACAAGCTGATTTATACTGATTCTGGCCTATCTAGTTCAATACTGTCCATACTGACTGGCAGCTGCTTCCAGGGTTTCAAGCAGGGGTCTCTCCCAGGTCTTTCTGGAGATGCAGGGGATGGAACCAGGAACCTTCTGCATGGAAAGCAGGTGCTTTACCACTGAGCCACAGACCCAGAGGGTAGTGAGCAGAAATGGGGAAACACAGATATGTGCCATTCCACATAAAAACGCTGCTTATTGCCTTTTAACAGAATATGCGCAGCTTGCAGACTTAACATATAGAATAAGAGAATAAGAAGAACATACATTTAGAGAAGATTGGAAAACGCTTATTGAATATATGGGAAATTACTGTGTACAGCTGAAAACGTTGGCAGCATTAAGATAATTCAGTGGTGTAAGTTTTGATGGATGTAATGATGGAATACTGAACAGTATAGTTTTTGTAAAATATGCAGGGATTTATGATATGTAAAATGAACCTTGGAAAGAGCAGAAGGGAAGTCCTTGATATCCTAAGGATGCACTTTAAATTGTAAAACAGAAAATTGAATAAAAATTATATTAAAAAACAAACAAACAAAAGGATCTTTGCCTTTAGCAGGTATAAGCAAGATCTCTAATGGTAGCTAATTTTTTAGCAGAGGCCTCCACTGCCAGAGGTGGCACATTGTTTATGAATTGCCCCCTTCAGAGAGGTTCCACCTGGCACCTTCAATCCTGAGGGGAGGGTATGTCACCCAGTGGTCAAGCACCGACATTGCACACAGAAGGGCTTGGGTTCAATTCATGGCATGTCCAGTTTAAAGGGCCTCAGGTACCAGGCAACAGGAAAGAGCTGGGATGGCTGGGGTTGATGGCTATGCTGCAGAATATCTGGAGGGTACCAAGTTGCTGGTGGCTGATAGAAGGCAACATATGAGTTTAAGATATTGGGTTAAGACCTTTCCACCTGCCACTTGTATGGCGAGAGAGGCCAATTTAATAGGCTGTTTAATTTTAACTTTTTATTATAGTACCTTTATGTACCACAAAATATCTGTCTACAGTACAGCCGTTCAGATAACAATGGAGAACTAACGAGCTGACCAGAGACAGAGACATCTTTTTGAGAAGTAATTGTATGTGGTCTGAAACATGAGACTGGTCCAAGGATGCATTGCACTCCCATAATGGCGTCCCTGCTGGATAGTCCCAGCTTTACAGCAGGGCTGGAGAGCTATTTTCAGCCCAAAGACTCCAGTCCCTCATGGGAAACCTTCCCAAGGGGCTGATTGCCAGCTATGGGTGTGGCCAGAGGCAACACTAGGCACAGCCAGAGCCACAGATCTGACTCTTAAAAAGGTAAAGGTAAAGGGACCCCTGACCATTAGGTCCAGTCGTGACCGACTCTGGGGTTGCAGTGCTCATCTCACTTTATTGGCCGAGGGAGCCGGCGTACAACTTCCGGGTCATGTGGCCAGCATGACTAAGCCGCTTCTGGCGAACCAGAGCAGCGCACGGAAACGCTGTTTACCTTCCCGCTGGAGCGGTACCTATTTATCTACTTGCACTTTGATGTGCTTTCAAACTGCTAGGTTGGCAGGAGCAGGGACTGAGCAACGGGAGCTCACCCCGTCGCGGGGATTCGAACTGCAGACCTTCTGGTCGGCAAGTCCTAGGCTCTGTGGTTTAACCCACAGTGCCACCCTTACTTTTGTACAATAGACTACTATCTGCCAACTGCACAAGATCAGATGGTTCTACATCAAGCAGCCCCACCTACCCACCCACCTGTCCATCTTCCATCCAGGCAAGCCAAAAGCACGATCACAGCCAGAGGACACTTTCCAGCCAGGCAAAGCACTCAAAGAGTAAGGAACAGGGCCTGGGAGAGGTGTAGCTTCAGGAAAGATGTGGCCTGGAAAGTAGGATATAGACTGGGGAGCGTCCTCAGGGCCAGGCAGAAGTCTTTGGAGAGCACATTCAACCCCAAGGCCTGTGGTCTTCCAATTCCTGCTTTACAGCCTCAATTCAAAGCCCATTTGAGTTGAAAGCGGCGTTTCAAGTCATAACTTTGAATCTGGACCACCAGCAAAAGTTTTGCAAAACACTAATCTACCAATCTGCTACACACTGTTACCTTTCACCCTCATCTGTTCTAAACGCAAGCACCAGGAAACCGCCTTGTCTTTGCCAGAGATTGTTCTGTAAATATTTCTACTGACCCACACATATTTTAAACATTTTGCAACTGACGACAAATATCTGGCTGGAGGAAATAAAACCATCTGCCAGTTTCAAAGCCATCCAGCGAAAAGCCTGTTAAGGCAATGTGGTTGGCTCACTAATCCTTGGACAAAAATTATATCCAATGAACATTATTTTATACTTGTCTGAAGATTCATTCCCCTGAGGTTTGGGTACAGTTTAACAAGGTGCTGCTGTGGTCTGTCATCCAGTCCTTGATGGAGCTGCCCATGGGCTTGTGCCCAAGTCCATATTAACCCCATGCATTTCACCGCATCAGACTCTCACGTTGCTGGCCAATTCCAGACAGATGGAGTTTTGATAAAGATATATTGTTTTAAGCTGTTTCTGTCCAGCAATGTGTTCATTGTAACCCATGCCAAGACTAGCAACACAAGGAAATAGCCAGTGCCTCTCCCCCCCCAATGAATGGAGTAAATATTTCAGGAGTAAACAAAGTGTGCATCTAGACAACCCACCAGAAATATATGAAGCCTTTGGACCAGCACTTACTCCACATCCCCAACAAAAACCTAGGAAAAGTATATATGACTCTACTTGCTCACAAATATTCCCTGTCACTCAACCCACCACATATCTTCTATTGACCATCAACTTCCCTGTGTCCCCCATTGATCCTCAGTTTTCCCGTGCCTCGCCACTGACCCTCTACTTTCCCACAGCCTCTCATCTCTCTCCCTCCTCTTCACACCTTTGTCAAAAATCACATTGTAAGCTCTTTAGGGCAAGAAACTGTTGCTTTATCTTATGTTCTTCTGCAAAATGCCGTAAACATTGATGCCTGACTGCACAAATAGTGTGATCTTCTGATAGATAAACAGACAAGCACTGCCAGAGAATGAATGAATCACACTCTTGCACGCCACAAAACAGAAGCTTGGCTGGCAGGTAGGAGAGGCCAGATTCTTAGTTCCTGCGGTCACCATTCATGACTAGAATTCATTTATATGGGGAAGGCTAAAGTCTGGCCAGGGCAAATTGTGTCCTATGCCCCTGTCATTGACAGGCTCCCATAACAGGGATCCTTGGGGAGGCTGTACACCCAGGAAACCATGAAAAACACAAGCCCCATCTCTACAAAACACCTCAGCTATCAAAATTAGGGGCCGTTTGCTAAGTCTGTGATGACAACTTTAGGAGCTGGGTCCCATCACCAGGAAAAAATTAGGACAGAGAGGAAGGGGTTGTATTCATATTAGTGCTGAGTAACTCATCAGCGCAAGGATTTCCACTTGTGCAAGGGGACTTCCCCACTCTCCTCCCCCACCCCCATAAATCTGCTGCAGGGATTCCTCCAATTCTCCAGAGCAGATCTGGGGACAGTGCAGGGCACGTGGCAGGGAGGAGAGTGCAGGAAGACCCATTGCACAAGTGGAAATTCTTGCACTGATGGGATGCATTAGTTGCATACCACCCAGAGCCCCCCAAAATAAGGAAAAACAACAACAGACAAAGTCACATGGGGAAAAAAAACACCCCGGTGAAATTGGTATAAAAGAAATTTATTAACTGACAAAACAAGACTGCCTGTAGAATGAAAATATATGCACATATGTGGTAGCTACTGTTGGGAAACAATTACAACAATTTCTCCAAACACAGCAAATGATCTCCTGGATTGCACCTCTTTTCATGCTCCATCAGAACGAGTAGAGAGTTTCTCACAGATGGCCGCTGAAGACCACTCCCTTAAAATGTCTGGTTGATCTTTTCAAAACTATGTTGATCTTTGTGCTTTTCAAAACTAAATTCATCTGAGCTAGGGGTCAGCAAACTTTTTCAGCAGGGGGCCGGTCCACTGTCCCTCAGACCTTGTGGGGGGCTGGACTATATTTTGAAAAGAAAAGGGAGGAAAAAAAAAACAAATTCCTATGCCCCACAAATAACCCAGAGATGCATTTTAAATAAAAGGAAACATTCTACTCATGTAAAAACACGCTGATTCCCGGACTGTCCATGGGCTGGATTGAGAGGGCGATTGGGCCGCATCCGGCCCCTGGGCCTTAGGTTGCCTACCCATGCTCTAAGCTAAGCTCTTCCTCAAGAACTTCATAGATGGAGCTACTAACAGTGGATGCATTGTTCTCCAAAACTGTAGCTTGTGGGGACTCAGGGAGAGAGTGACAGCCTATATTGTCTCCTTAGGGAAAGATGAAAATCAGTGAACAACCACATGCCCAATTATTGACTAGAATGTCGTCACAGAAAATGGCAAAGCTTATGTAAGCAAGAAAGGGTAGACACAGATAAAGAGCGAGAAACAAAAGCAGAATTGCAACTCAGGATTTTGAAAAAGACAGAAATACAAACAGGGGGTTGTGTTTTGCTGAAAAAAGAAAGAAGAAATAAGTTAGAAGATTACTGGGAGAAAGATATTTAAAAAGTTGTTAAGGCAACATTTGAAAACTCGCCAGTCTTTGTAATGACAAATGTTTCTGGGGAAATGAGCACGACAGGACACCGAAACGTACTAAAGCTGCTGGTGGTGTGAAGGAAGAGAGAGGAGGAAACCCAGAACCAAAAAGGCTCCTCAGATGATGATGTTGCAAAGAATGTGGCAGAGTTCAGCGCAGATAACGAAAAAGAATAAAGAACCAGGAAATTCTCAAAGGTGGTGGAAAATGCTGCCCAGGTGTATGGATGGTGGTGTTTGAACAGGTTGGAGAAAGACTGAACATGCACCAAAGGAAGATGTGTGAGATCAGTTTCAGAAGCTATTATAAGGTGCACAGGCTGGGAAGCAGAGAGGGGGAATCCTCAGCAACCTCACGAGCTTATTTTTTTTAACTTAGTACCAACTTCACGGGCACAGAAAATTTCCCAAAGATGAAACAAAGCTATGACACCACAAAGGTGGATATAGGCATGTTGGAATGTCAGTAATTCAGGGGCATTGTGGAAAGGGGAAATACACTTGCAGAAAATGTTGGCAGGCTAAGGAATTTGGAGTTTATGGGAGAGGGCCATATGGAACCATAATTAAGACATTTGTGGGGAACTGTAAGTAAGAGGTGAGAATGTTCTTACTCAGGGAAGTATCTGAGAATGTACTAAGGAAATCTGGGAGCGTAACATGATAGATAATGTATCTATCTATTCAACTTGTTTTGTTATGCTCTTTTGCTTCAGTATGTTTCATAAGGCCAGTTGTTTAGGGAAACAGGGAAGAAATTGAATTTTAACAAGTAGGGTTGAGGGTAGGGATGCAGGAGAAGTTCAATTCAGTTTGCATTTAAAGGCAAATCTAATTCTCACAATATACAAATGGAAACACCCACCTTTTGCAATTTGCACTCCGCTGAATTTTGCAATGCAGTTCTTCAGCCAAGTGATTTGTACACAAATGATTATATTAAACAGTGCATATGATGTATATATTATAAGAAATAACATACAAACATGCATTATCTTAGGGGAAAACTAAGTATTAAGGAAAATATACTTTCAAGAAATCATGTATTAGGCAAAAATGAATAAAAAAATGTGTATATTAGGAGAAATTAGCACTAACACACTGGATAATTTTCATGAGGATTTTGCTTAAAATAAACCAACCACAAGCTGCTGTAGAAATGTGAAAAAGCTGGATTTAAAATTGGAAAAATGAGAGAACCAAGGTTGACAAATCCTTCCACCCTTGCTCACAACAGTTTCACACATGAGCCCATAGGTTCCAAAACATGGGTGACCCATGTCTTGGCGTTTCACAGATAATAAAAAGGTTTCTATTAAAACAGCATGGCTGTTATGGCAGTGAGTAAGCTTCACCAGCAAGCTCTCTGTCTGATGCTCTAGCCCACCAAATAATTTTTGAAATCAATGCTTGCACTCTCATCACTCTGCAATCCAAGCATTCTCACAACTGGATGTCACAAATTGTCCAACACCTTTATCACAAATAATTTCCTCTGCCTATTCTCTCTCTCTGCCTCTCTATTTCGCTTCTGTCTCTGTACATGTAAAACATGTTGCCACAATCTTGTGAAATAGTAATCTGTGCCTCTCTCTGGCCAGCCACCTTTCCCCAGCCTGCAGATATGTGAAGCAGAAATTCTAAAAGGTATTTTCTTACAGAGTCCTGTTGATCACAGATGGCGTCTGTACCTTTCACCTTGCAGAAATGGGCCAGAAGCATTTATCTTCACTTAACATCACTTGCTCATCATCACACGGTCTCCCGCCACAGCCCCCCCCTCCATTCTTCATTTATCTTTCTGGAGCCACTGTATGAGGCAATAGCCTCTTCTGTTAAAGAATTCGTGTCTGCCACCGTCTCCAGAGAATTAAGTAAGTTCACAGTTGACATTGACAGAATCACCTGCAAATTGTGCATTTATCTCTGAACTGTCTTTGGAACATTGGGGAGTAGCATGGGATGTAGGGATGGTGGTGGGGAGAGAGAAATATGATTCAGACCACATTTAAAATGAATCTATTTAATTTGTACTTTCTGAAACAATAGGAGACCAAGACACAGCCATCCTTCAAAATCCCCTCTGCTCTTAATTTTTCAGTGCAGTTTTTCAGCCAA